GGCAGCTAGGTGGCTCTGTGGTTAGAATGTTGAGCCTAGAGTTAGGAAGACATGAATTCCAATCCGGCCTCAGATATTTACTAGCTGTGTGACTCTGGGCAAGTCACCTAACTGTTTGCCTCAGTTTTCTCATCTCTAAAATGAGCTGGAGAAGGAAATGGCAAACTGCTCTAGCATCTCTGCCAAGAAAACCCCAAATGGGATCCCGAAGAGTTGGACATGACTGAACAACAACAACAAACCCTATCCCCATCCTGATGGCCTTAAGTGAAATTTCAATTTACCATACACATATGCCTGTTCTTTTTCTTTTTCCCCTGGGTATACATGCCAACCAACTCTCTGTGGGTAATTAGTAAGATTTGCAACTTGCTACAGAAATATCATCTCATTTTATCTTCAAAAAAAAATCCTAAGATATGCTATTATTATATTCACTTTACAGAGGGGGAAATTGAAGCAGACAGAAGTTAAGTGACCTGTCCAGGGTCACACAACTAGTAGTGTCTGAGGCTGGATTTGAATTCAAGTCTTCCTGAGCTAAGGTCCAGCACTCTATCCACTGTGCTACCTGGCTGCCATGTTATGGAATTCTCCTATTTTATTCCATTCAACTAAAAAAAAAAACACCAATATGTTTAAAGTTCACTACTTTGGAGCTTCAAAGATGCATAAGATATGGTTACTGCCATCCTTGAAGAAGTCATAGTCTTACTGAGGAGACAAGACATAAACAGAAGAAAGAGTTAAGCAATGTAAGTCTGTAGAAATGACTTTGGCAGTGAATATTAAGACGAATGCTCAGACATATGACTATCATTAACCTTGCCAACAATTTTTGGAACGAGGAAAGCATAAGAGTAAAACAATATTATCTTGTAAGCCTAATATTAATAGTGTGATATCAACAACTCACTTTTATATACCATGTGAAGGTTAACAAGCAATTTCCTCACAACAGCTGTGAGATAAATACCAAAACTTTTCTTCATCAAATAGAAAAAGGAATTAATTGAAAGTCTTTGCATCCCCTAGAGAGAGCTACCTGATGATTTTCCTACTTCAGAAACTAGAATGAAGATCTTTAAATACAACAATTTAAATTTCTTCTCAGCAGAGAATTTTCCCTGACACTTGTAGGAGTTCCTATTGCAGACTGAACAACAATTATGCTACAGCTATCAATAGTGGAGGTGGAGGATGAGGGGAGGATTATTCCCTGAAGTCACAAAGATAGACTTGGATGTGAGTATATGTGGGTGTTCAACATGTCAATCAACTAAGCAACTAAGCTCACACTGAATCAACCACTAGTCAGACATACTTATAATGGGGAAAGCATGGTAGACCAGCAGCCTACAACTGTCAAAGGAGCCTAAAAATAAACTGAATGGCATAAGAAATGACAATTTCAGCACAATGTCTTCCAGTTCCAGAGTGCTCCACAGCAAAGTTATTGGTATCTATGTCTCTAACATAAATGGGAATCCAATCACTCATCAAATTACCTGTAAAGTGCTTGGAGAACTGAAGGAAATTAAACTTTAGGGGATTGTGTTCATTACTGAAACAAGCTGACCAACACGTCACTACACATTCTAAGCAACAGAGAGAAGGAAGAGGAAAAAAAAAAGTAATGATAACATAACTTTATACTCCCATAGTGCTTTATACTTTAGACAGCACCTTCTTGACTCTTAACTAAAAGTATTCTTATTTTAATCTATTCCCATTAAGCACAATCATCAATTATGAAGAAAAGGTAATGGTCTGGAGCTATGAAATAACCAATTAATTGAAAGCAAATACCTTTTACTCCTGATTCAATTGAGGTTATATTATACTGGACCAATAACAGGTTTCTGTAATTGTGGAGTGTTAACTTATTTATTCTGCCCCCTGATTTTTATGAATACATCCAACAGTCTAAATTGTTCAAGTTTATATACAAGAGAGGCCTAATGCATGGCACCCATATAATACATACATACATATATACACATATGTAACATATGTATGTTACATCTTTATTCAGTTAACCTCAAGGGCAAATAAGGTTTTTTTCCTACTGTATTCATTAATTAATTCCTATTTCAGCAAAACACTTGCTCCCTGCATTCCTTCTCCCAATCTGTCCTCTTCTCCTCTCTTTCTTCCTCCCTGCTTCCCCCCTTACCCTATCCCAGTCATGAGACTCTATTCCATATAAGGTAATTCTTGGAAACTGACAAGAGAATGTAAAATAAAACAGGATCTTGGGAGAGAAGGACATTTTTCTTTTTGTTTCTCCTCTTCTTTTTAAAAATAGAATCCAATAAAAAAAAAAAGGAGAAAAAGGACATTAGATAACTAATGATTTATTGAACTCACTGAACACTATCAAAGTTGAATGAAAATGTTTCACACTAAATTAAGCCACTGGTCCCAATAGGAAAACTTTGTCCAATCTAAAAACAACCATTATTTTAAATAGAAATTAAAATTTGTTCAGAATGATTTTAAAAATCCCCCCCTAACTATTCATTTGGCACATCTTTCTTTATGCTTTGAGTTTCATAAATGTGCTGAAAATACTGTGCTCCTCTTTATTTTGAACTCACTATATGTATTTGTTTGAATATTATGTATTTATCTACAAAAGAAAAAAAACCTCATATACATATATACACATACACAGGCAGCTAGGTGGCACAATGGATGTAGCGCAGGGCCTGAAATCAGGAAGACTTACCTTCCTGAGCTCAAATCTGGTTTCAGACACTTACTAGCTGTGTGACCCTGGGTAAGTTACTTAACCCTGTTTGCCTCAGTTTCCTCATCTGTAAAATGAGCTGAAGAAGGACACGCTAAACTATTCCAGTATCTTTGCCAAGAAAACCCCAAAAGGGTCATGAAGAGTGAGACATGACTGAAATGACTCAACAATAACAATACTTGCACAAGGCCAAGGCTGTTTGAGTAGCAGGTTCATTTGCAAAAACACCTCCCCCTTCCCACCACGATATCCTAACACGTATCACATAAATCACACACTGACAGAAAAGACTTAAATTTAGCACTTAAAGGGATTTAGTTGATTGTCTGCTTGAAACACAGGAGGGTCTAAGTTTTGAATGTGTCTGTGCCTGTGTTTTTGTGTTTAAATTTTATGGACTCAGCATCCAGGCAATATATCTTTGGACTGCACAGATAGGCAAGCTCTGGAACTTGTAACAAGATCTTTATGATACTTAAGTCAAGTGATCCTTGTCAGAAACTCAATGCAGTTTATCTCCTAAAGCAGTCAACTACCAATTCCCACATAATAAACATAAACTTAAAAAGTATTTAAAAATACTTTTTCTCTTTTGGAGACTAAAGAATTCTTCCAATGGGTTTTGGTCGATTTACCTTAAAGGAACATATTCAGAAAAAAAAAGCAGTTTTAGGCTACAGGGCTGGGGAACTCAAAGCTGCAGGTTCCCCAACCCTGGGCTACCCAGTAGCCTAGGGTGGTGATGGGGGTGATAATCTGTCCTTTTTTCTCCTTGGAAGGTGGAGACGGGAGAGAAGGAAGGATAAGAGAGGTAGAAGCCTAAGATGGAAGTTCTGCCTATTGGGCTAGGGCTGTGATCTGCTTAGGTACAAGCTGGTTAACACAGGCCTCTGTTACTCAATGGTACTTAACATTCCTCTCCAATATATTTTCAACCTTCTTTGTAGAATGAACACTTGGAGAAAATAATTACAGTTTATGAGTTAATTCCTAAGGGTCAAACAAATTGTTTTGAATAACTCTCCTCTTAATTCTCAAACTACTTACCACCCTCTACTTTGCCTTGTAATTATTTGTGTAGATGTCTTATTTCCCCTTTGAAACCATAAGCTCTTTCAAATTAGCTATCCCCATTTTAATCATATTTATAATCTCCCCAGTATACAGTATCATGTTGTATACACACACTCACCAAAGGTTCCAGGAACAAGATGCCCTTATATCCTCACCCTTTTCTCAATTCCTCATGGGGGAAAATAGTTTACAAATGTTGCTTGGGTTAAACCATTTTTATTTTTAACAAGTAACAAAATATTTCCTTTGATCTAATAGGAGAATTGGAAATCACTTTATATCTATTAATCAAAACCACAGAAAATTCCTTTGTCACCAAAGCAGCTTATCACATAATTTTAAACTGAGGCTTATAGGGCTGAAATGATTTACTTGAGGCTTTGCAAAGGATTGGAAAGAATCAGAGAAGAGAGAATAGTCAGGTTCCATTTTACTTTCTAATTCCACATGTGATAACCTCATGAAGGAGTAGAGGCAAGACCCTCTTATAAGCTCCTTTTTGTAAATTAAGTATACAGGGCTATACCACCTGCAAGGGACCAAGTCACCCTTGCAAACTTTACCTAAGAAAAGGAGGAGACAGTAAACCCATTCTTTTCACTTAGATGAAACTGATTTAGTTTGAATGTCCAAGGTTCAAGAAATGGACTTTTTATGAGCAACAAATAAAAACTTTCCAGCTTAGTGAAAAATGAATAGGTTGAGTATAACTTTCCAAACTTTTCCAAGTTTGCATATTGGTTGCTATGGCAATAGTGCCTGCTTTCTCTGTGGCTGTTTCCAGCATTCTTATACCTAAACCTCAAAAGTCCAAAACTGTGGTGCTTCTCTAAGGAGGACTTTAGTAATTCTCTCATCTTCATGCTCTAATCAATCTGATGTCTATCTCATCTTTAATTTGTTCCTCTGAAAATAAATATTTTTCACAGGAGGGATTTTATCACACAAAAAGTCTTCAACAAGTTACGCATTTTACAACTAGGAAGGCAGATAGAACAATTTCGGTCATTACCAAAATACAGTTTCTCAAAAGTAAATTAACTACTAGTCTCTTAACTGCTAATGAGACTTGTATCAACATCCCTTCAATAACAAAAACATAAGCCAACTTTGTGGAAAATTATATGTATTCATGGAGAACAAGGCTAGACAGAACTATAAGAATACTTACTGCTGGAGCTTGAGACCTCTTGATGGCTGGAAGACATTGGCTGAGCACAGAGTTGACAAAGACAGTCCCTTCCATTGAAGGTAACTCGGTCGCCAGGTGGAAACGGGCGTCTGGAAACAGAAAGACATTGTAGTCAGGGTTATTCCAGTGATCCAAGTCTTTTCTCTTACTCTTTCAGTTTGCTGCACTCTGAGGCAAAATAATATCTTAGAGGAACACCAGCCAAAATGATTGAAATGCGGTCTTAATCAAGCCAGCCAAGTGGAACAAATCCAATTCCTAAAGGCATCTCATTTAGGAGAGAAAGGGGGTTACAGAAGCTGCTTTCATTTCAAAAAAGGCCCATCTAAATAGTAAAACAGAGAAAATCTTACTTCAACTTCATATCTTGAATGATGTCTCAATGTGTCTCTGAACAGCATGTGACAGGAAAATTTCAGCTGACAGGTCTTTCAAGAATAAGGGATTTTGAATACCATGAATTCTTGCTAAATACTTAAGGCCTCTCCCCAAGAGAGATGCTAGAAATGAAGGCATTAACTACTTTAGGTAACTGGGACATCATTAGAAAACTAGAGATCAGAAAACTCCTTCATTGAAGCAGGAGCTATTTCTGATGTCAGAGAACATTAAAGAAAAAGTCTCATGGTGCCTGGGATGTCATTTGCTTAAAAATAGGGATCACAGGAGCACAAGGAATCAGACTCACTATTAATAGATGATATTTATTCAATAAATTAGCTTTGGCTTCTTTCAGAAAGACAAATGTTGAAGCCTATCATTGAAATTTCATTTTTACCAATATTCAAAAGCTACAATTCATTTTGCAAACTCTCAATCTCATGCCAGTTGTCTGATGTATTTCTCTTTGCCTCCTGCTGCCTCTCTCCTTACCCCTAATTCAGTGGCAGTCTACATACTATTTTTTATAGCTATTAAACAAATATTCCACATATATTTTCTCTGCCAGATTATTTATTTCTAGGTTGCACTTGGCCAATTCACCAACAGAATTCATTATCGTGAATTTCTAAAGGCAATATTATTCTCTGTGTGATATTTCCATTTAGCAAACAGTTCTAAAACCTTCAAGACAAACATATCAGCACAAGTCTTAGTACAAGCTACAATTAAACCAAAGAACTGCCTGAAGTTTATTAAGATAAGTATTTACTTTTATAAATGTTCTTTTTCTTCCAGTTGCTTCTGGTTTCAACCCCTGTCCAAACACTATTGTTATTGATAATTAACTGTAATAAACCAAGGGATAAATCTGGAGTAGCAAAATTACTCTTATGCTTTGCTACCATCATGTATATGTGCATTGAGGAAAATTTCAAGGCAATTGTCAATCAAACATAGCCCAAGCCATAGACGTTTTCACTAATGTTGGTTGACCAAAGCAGAATAGATATTAAGATAAGTAAAAGCCCCACTCTCTATCCAATCCTTGTATTAGACAAGCATAGAATCAATCCAGTCTTGTCTGGAATGAACCTCTATTGGGATCTATAGGGAGAACATCCAGGAGCTAAAGGGTCATTCTCTTTAATACCACACCCCTCCCACCTTTCAGTTAATACTTATTATACATAATAAATGAAGAATATAGGCTCAATATATTTCTACCCCACTCAAACCTAAATTTTTAGGTTCAAAGTTTATATGAGCATGTCTCTGCTATATTTACAAAATCAAAGGGTTATCATTATACTCTGTGGCAAATCAATGAAAGCTAAGTGGAATTTCGTTCCTAAGATGAAAAGAATTCTCTTGATTCATTTAACAAATGGAATTTCAAAGACTCTAGCTCTTAGAGCAAAGAATAATAGAGATAGAATTAATCCATCAGTCAAAAATATTTATTAAGAATCTACTATAAGCAGGTGCTCAAGATGCAAATAAGAGTGAAATAATTCTTACTCCCAAGGAGCTTACATTCTAAAAGAGATATCAGGGGTCATCTTGCCCAATCTAAAAATTTTTAGATATAAGAAATTAAATTCACAAAGTCCTAGTTTGATGCTTTGTCTTCATGTGGAGATGACCACGGGTTCATGAGGGCTATGGTAGAAGAACATGAGCTCTGGGAGGTTCTATTAAGTTAGAAAGGCTTCAAGCATGGTTATGGCATCACATTAAGCATACTGCCCAAGAACTGACCTAATAAAGTCTGGAAAGGTTCATTACTAGCAGATCAGCTACAAGGTAAGGAAGTCTTTGATTATGACAATCTATGAAATAAAGACATTTTATGTAAAAAAATTCCTTTTGTTCTGTGCAACCTGTGTGTACTTCTAGATGGATAGTGGTAGAATTTTATAGAGGGGTAAGAAAGAGCTAAGAATTGCATAATTTTTAGATACTCAATGAACAATTCAGCTGCTGGTACTCTAAATGTTAGGCTTGTTCAATGACTATACCTTCTGAACTGCATTAATATTGTTATTTTAAATTATAAATAAATCCAGAAGATAAAAGGAAGTTTTAATTAAATAGGAGGAGTCACGAATTTTCTTCATAGAGGTTAACAAAGGATTTGGAAGAATTGGTTTTATGTGTTCCCAATTCAATAAGAAACATTATTTCATTGAGCAGATGGCCATTTTGTTTTACATGTTTATGATAAATATAAACAAAAGATCACCATGAAAATTAACAGTAGCTTTTGCTAATATCTGTTGCAGATGATGAAAAAGTATAGAAATTTTGTGAAGAATTTTTCATCATTCACCAAACTGATAGTGACTTTTTAAAAGAAAACATTTTGTATTGATGTCTTTTGATTTTTTCTACACCACCACAAGAAAGGCATAAAATAGAGAGATATGTGATCACCAAAGGTACTCCTCATTGTCATGGAGAATGCCCTATACTCAAAGGGATCTGTGATCTTACTGATTTGTGTGGCCCCTTCAACAATACAGAGCACAAGTCATTCATGCCTGCCCATCTTGTGACTCTTGTCCATGTCCTCTCATACATCTGTCACAATGGGGAGGACTTCCTCACTTTCTCCTGATATCTAGATAGTACTAGTGGAGGATTTTGTCTATCTACTTGACAACCCTCCTCCTTGCAATGTGACCAATTCTTTATCTATCATACATTTTCTTGATGACATCTTTTACTACTGTTCCTCTTTGTTCCTTTTGCTTACATCCTGCAGCCTGCTCACACCTCTGTGTGATATTCAATTTAAAATCTTTGGAGACCTTACGTTCCTTTTTTCACAGCCATACATCACCATCAGCAGCATATTGGTATTTAAAAGATGGGCCTTTGTTTTGAGGAAAAGTTTGAGGTATTTAACAATGATTTGCAATTTCCTGAAGGCAATCTAATCTGCTTTCCCCTTCCTGTTCAATTTTGAGCCTACTTGTTCATTTGTATGCCTTTCTCAGATATACCCTACTAATGGATAATAGATACCCTCCTAACACTATAAATTATCTGGACAAGATAAAGTCTTTATCCAGTTGGCTTACTCTGTGTGGATGGTCAGGTCAAACTCTTCTGAATGTCTATATATGTCTTCTAGGAAGCTGTGTAAGGTTCTATCGCTTGATGCAAATAGCACTGTGTGTATAGTCACAAAGCTAGCATACACCGGAATTAGGACTTGATATCAATTCCTTCTGACACCAAGCCTGGCTATTTATCCGCTGTGTTCTGTGCCCATAAATGAGATACAAACAAAAAGGGGATAGACTAATCATATGATAAGATTGATGGAAAAAGAGATAGACTGAGTTCTGTACTTGTGATTACAGAAGGAAAAATTATCTAGAAGGCCTCTAACATTTTGGGTAGCTCCTAAGTAAATAAGGATCTATAAGAGAACTTGGATGAAAATCACACAAGATGAAAAGACATGGATAGGTGATAATCTTTATTGACAAAGGTAATGCCAATCTTTATGAGATCAAAGAACCATTGAAGTATAAGAAAAGCAAGCTAAGAACCTGTCGGGGAAGACGTATTAGAATGGAAAGAATGTTGAGTCTGAATCAGGGGACCTGAGTAATCCAAGTCCTGTTACCTACCTACTCACTACCTGTGTGACTGTGGGTAAGTCACTTAACCTTTTTCAGCCCCAGTTTCCTTATCTATCAAGGGAAAGCATTAGAAAGTAAAGGCTGAAGGTAGGGGCTTGTTTAGTTTTTGTCTTCATATCCACAGCACTGAGATGTCATATAGGATACTGCTGTATTCAATTTTGGAGATGTCATACTGACAAATCGAAGATGTCCATGATAGAGAAAGGTCCATTCCCATGAGAAGAAATTGAAGGAACTGGGGATACTTAGCCTAAAGAAAAGAAGAGAGTTTTGGGAATAGCTGTCTTCAGAAATTTAAAGGGTTGTTACATACAAGAATAAACAAGTTCTCTCTTACCCTGGGAGATATAAAACTGGGCCCCAAGGCAGGAAGACTTAAATCCACATCTCCTCTCTGAAAAACACTGCTGTCTGTATGGCCCTGGGGAAGTCACTTCAGTATTCTAGGCAACTTTTTTTTTAAAAATACTTTTATGCTTTTATTTCCTTATATACATATTATTCCCTGCTACCCCTCAATAGATTATTAGTTCCTTGAGGACAAGGAAGGTTTTGTTTTTGTCTTTGTATTTCCAGCACCTAAAAGACTGCCTGCACTTCTTAATTAATGTTCATTGGATTGAAATGAATTGAAATGCTTTGGGTTTCTTTTTTCCTAGGCTGGATCAGATGGCGAAAGCATTGGGAACTGTCCATTCTCTCAGCATCTCTTCATGATCCTATGGTTGAAAGGGGTTGTGTTCAATGTCACCACTGTGGACCTCTTCATGTTCCACTTGAGTCTTGTGTTTGAAAGTCAAATTTTCTATTTAACTCTGGTCTTTCCATCAAGAATGCTTGAAAGTCCTCTATTTCACTGAATGACCATTTTTTCCCCCTGCAGGATTATACTCAGTTTTGCTGGGTAGGTGATTCTTGGTTGTAATCCTATCTCCTTTGCCCTCCGGAATATTATATTCCATGCCCTGTGGTCCCTTAATGTAGAAGCTGCTAAATCTTGTGTTATCCTGATTGTGTTTCCACAATACTCGAATTGTTTCTTTCTGGCTGCTTGTAATATTTTCTCCTTGACCTGGGAACTCTGGAATTTGGCAACAGTATTCCTAGGAGTTTTCCTTTGGGGATCTCTTTCAGGCAGTGATCGGTGGATTCTTTCCATTTCTATTTTGCCCTCTGGTCCTAAAATATCAGGGCAATTTTCCTTGATAATTTCTTGAAAGATGATGTCTAGGCTCTTTTTTTGATCATGGCTTTCAGATAGTCCAATAATTTTTAAATTCTCTCTCCTGGATCTATTTTCCAGGTCAGTTGTTTTTCCAATGAAATATTTCATATTGTTTTCTAATTTTTCATTCTTTTGGATTTGTTTTACACTGTCTTGATTTCTCATAAACTCACTAGCTTCCAATTGCTCTATTCTAATTTTTTTTTAAAATTTTTTTTTTAGTGAGGCAATCAGGGTTAAGTTACTTGCCCAAGGTCACACAGCTAGTACATGTCAAATGTTTGGTCTGAGGCCGGATTTGAACTCAGGTCCTCCTGACTTCAGGGCCAGTGCTCTATCCACTGTGCCACCTAGCTGCCCCTCTATTCTAATTTTTAAGGAAGTATTTTCTTCAGTAAGCTTTTGGACTTCCTTTTCCATTAGGCCAATTTTGCTTTTTAGGGCACTCTTCTCCTCATGGGCTTTTTGGACCTCTTTTGCCATTTGGATTAGGTTATTTTTTAAGGTGTTATTTTCTTCAGTATTTTTTTGGGTCTCCTTTAGCAAGCTGTTGACTTGTTTTTTATGATTTTCTTGCATCACTCTCATTTCTCTTCCCAGTTTTTCCTCTACTTCTCTTTCTTGCTTCTCAAAATCCCTTCTGAGCTCTTCCAAGGCCTGGGATTGATTCATATTTTTCTTGGAGGCTTTGGATGTAGGAGCTTTGGCTTTGTTGTCTTCTTCTGGTTGTATGTTTTGATTTTCTTTGTCACCAAAGTAAGACAATATAGTCTGACTCTTTTTGCACTGCTTACTCATGATCCCGGTCAGTTACTTGAGTTTTAAACTCTTTGTTAAGGTAAGAGTCTGCTTGCAATGTGGAGAATGTACTATCCCAAGCTTTGGGGGTTTGTACAGCTGTTTTCAGAGGTGCTTCTAGGGACCTGTAAATTTTCAATTCTTCCAAGGTGGTATGATAAGGGGTGAGGTGTTTCCTCTCCACCAACACAACAAGCTCCACCATGCCAGTGCTCCTCCTCGCCCCAGGACCACCCCTCAGAACTGTGACCCAGATCTGAGCACGGGCAAAGCAAGAGATTCCTGCCTCAGCACTAGCAAAGAGATCCCTGCAATCTCCCTCTGATCAGCCACTCGATTTCCCCTCAGTCTGTGGGCCTGAAGCTCAGGAGGCAGCTGTGACCCACTCTCGGGACTTGTGACTGAGACCTAGCTTCTAACTCTCACCGCAGTCACAGACTTTTCCCACTGACCTTCTAAGTTGTCTTTGGTGTTCATGGGTCGAGAAGTCTGGAAACTGCCATAGCTGCCCTTGATTCAGCCCTCTGAGGCCTGCTCCAGGTTCTCTGCAGGCTGAACTGTGCTCCTCTCCCCGCCTGGCACAATATACCTTTTGGATCAACCATCCAGGTTGTCTTGGGCTGGAAATCTGTTTCACTCTGTCTTTTTGTGGGTTCTGCTGCTTTAGAATTTGTTTAGAACCAATTTTTTACAGGTGTTTGGAGGGGTTTGGGGGAGAGCTCAAGCAAGTCACTGCTTTCACTCCCCCATCTTGGCTCCACCCCCTCTAGGCAACTTTTTAAGACAATAAACTGCAGAGAAGATTCCAAACTTCAATGGTAGAGGGAATTTCCTTATTTAGAAGCTCCATCTCTTTTCATATCTCTCTTTCTCTCTCTCTCTGAAATTGAAGATCCAGTCCCTATCCTATCCTAAGCATCTAGGACAATGCCTAACACAGAGTAGTCACTTAATAAATGACTGTTTATTGCTTGATTGAGGGAGTTGGACTACATGACCTTTAAGATCCCTTTAAGCTCAAAATTTATGATCCTATGATAGAGAGGTCAAATGACTTGTCCAAGGTTGCATAATTTATAATGATTGGGATTCAAATCCAGCCCTCTGTGTTTCAAGCCAGTGCTCAAGGAGTGAGGACTGAACTTTGCTTTTGTAATAACTCAAGGCACTTATAATTGTCTAGTTACAATCCAACAAAGCAAAATTTAATTCAATTATCAAAAATATATAGCATACAGTGCTTTTGAGATCTATATGACAAAACAGAACAAACAGGAATGTGTCCCAACTTCAAAGAGGCTAGTAATGGCTGAATTAGGGAAAAATAAGAAAGCGACTCGCACCTGTTAGTCAGTGTTCTTGTTAGAATATGGGCTAAAAAAGAACACAGGGTCTTAATCTACATGCTATGAGCAAAAGAATTCAAATTAACTCAAAATAATCTCCCCTCAAAGCCACCTTACATTTTTTTTAATTAACCAGAGAGGGAGAGGAAAAGAAGGGGAAAGGGAGAGAGGGAGAAGGAAAGGGAAAAACAGAGTGGGAGAGAGGAAGAGGGAAAGGGAAAGGGAGGAGAGAGAAGGGGAGAGAAAGGAAGAGAAGGAAAGGGAAAGAGGGAGAAAGAGAGGGGGAGAAAGAGAGGAGGAAAGGAGAAGAGGGAGAGGTAAGAAGGGAGACAGAGAGGCAGAAAAGTATAGAGAGTGGGAAAGTGAGATGGAGTGGGGAAGAAAGATGGGGAAAAGGAGAGAGGGAGAGAGACAGAGAGGGGGGCGTAAGAGGGGGAGGAGAAGGGAGAGGAATAAAAGAAGGAGATGACAGATAGATGGGGGATAAGAAAAAGGGAAGCAGAGAGAGGGGGCAGAGGAAGAATGTTATTAACAAGAAAATTTGTCCAGTGACATGTTTCTATCACATTACACATTTCTTTCCTGCTGCAAACTTGTTGTGGGTAGCTTACTACTTACTTGCAGATGGTACAGGCAAAGCAGTTAGGGTGGTAGGTCTTCCCGAGAGCTGTCACCACCTCTCCCTCCACGAATTCCCCACAGCCATTACAGCGCGTTCCATACATTCGCTGGTAATCCAGTGTGCAGAGGTATTCTCCGTTCTTTATGAAGAAGCCTCCTTGAGCCAGGTCACAGCCACATACTGGAGAAATACAAACATGTTCACGATTTGATTAGGGAAGCTCATTTGCTGGGAAAAAAATGTATCTTCAAATCAGGCTGATGAACTTCAGATTTGATATTTTTGGGGTGGGGCAGGAGGGTGAGGTGAGGGGAATGTGAGATTTCTGCAGAGAACTATTTATTACTTATGCTTTTCTGTCTCTCTTGCTTGTCTTCCTTTGAGGGATATGTAAAATCTCATACAAGTAAAATTCACTGGCTAAACCTCAGACTCCTCTGAAGTATGTCTTAACTACAAAGGTAATGGAACAGTCTTTGATGAGAGGAGAGCACAAGATAAGAGTAAATCAAATTAGGACAATAATGTCTCCAGAAGAAATGTTTCAGGAAGCATGTCTACTACTTGCCCATACAACTGCTTGACTGTGGCCAATATTACTGAGGCAATTAGCCAGTTTCCCTAGACACCAAAATAAGATGCTTCACGGCAGCCTAAAATCTCAAATTTCCTTACATGCTTGAAATACTTTCCCATAATAATGAAAAATGACAGAGCATCTCACCATTTGGTATTGCAAGGAGAGATAAAAACAACTAGAGTTCAGTGGAAACAACTCCAGATTTGAGAGCTGGAAGACCTGAGTTTTAGTCCTGGCTCTGGGCACTAATTAGCAATGCGTCACAAGATGTACTGTTGTGGGATGTGTAAAGGTTGATTTTGGAGAACTGATAGACCACTTAAAATAAAATGTAGAACACATGAAGGAGAGTAATATGAAATTAGACTGGAAAGCTAGGTTGGAGCCAGATTGTGCAAGATCTGAAAAGCCAGTAAGAGAAGTTTGTAGTTGACCAATAGGGAGCCACAGAAGGTTTTTGAGCAAGGCACTGACACAGACAGATTTGTATCTTGTGAAGATTCCTTTGGAAGCTGAGGAGAAGATGGATTAGAAATAGGGAGGCTTGAATCAGGGAAAAAAGTTAGGGGCTATTACAATAGTCTAGGTGAGAGGTGATGAGTTCTTGAACTGGTGAGGGAGGAGGTTTTTCTTTTTCTCCATATTTATATGTAACCATCAGAATATGTAAAAAGACTGTATGTTATGAGCCTCCAAGTTTGGCATATTGCTTACTATGTAAAGCCACAGGATTCTAGGATTCACTTTCCCTATCTCTGAAAGGATAGAGTTGTTTTAGATGTTCTGCAGGATTTGTTCCAGGTCCAACATTCTATGATTAAGACAAAGGGGGAGGGGAACTATCTTAATAATAGTAATTTCACAATCATCTAATGCTTCAAGGATTACATACTGTTTTCAGCACAACCCTGGGAGGTAAGAACTATAATTCCCATTTTACAAATAAGGAAACTGAGGCTCTGAGAGTTTAAGGGACTAGTTTAAGATAACAGGTAATAAGAATCCTTCACCTTGGCCACTATCTCTACTTCCTCCCTATTACAAAATTGGATTCTGCTCTTAGAACCATCCTGGATTCTGAAAGGGTAGTCTTAACCTTATCTTTCCTGTGTGCCAGCCCCAGGCCTCCAATGTACTTCCCAGTTATCTCCACACCATGCTGTCTCCACCCAGTGTATCATATCTACCTCTTTCCTACTGGAAAATTGGACTATACTTGGAACCATCTTGGGCTTTGATAGACCAGTCTTAGCCTTATCTTTCTTGGATCCAGGCCTCTCTTAGTCATCTTCGTGCCATGCTGTCTCCACCCAGGGCATCATCTCTACGTATTTTCCTACTGAAAAAAATGGATACCATCCCTCGAACCACCCTAGGTTCTGATAGGACAGCTTTGGCCTTATCTTGCCTAGATCCAGTGCTCCATGACACTTAAAGGCCATCTCCACCACTGATGGACCACTTTAGCTCTACTTCCAGGTCCTCTTTATGTGTTGTATTCCCCCATTAGAATGTAATCTCCTTGAGACTCCAGAGACTCCAGCCTGCTTGTCTGCATTTGTATCCCCAGATCTCAGGACAGAACCTAGCACATAGTAAACACCCAATGAACGATTCACCTACTTACCTAAGAGTCAGAATCAGGATTTTAGCTCTTGACTCCTGATTCCCTTTCCCTGATACCAAGCCATTTCTCTTAATATAAGACTATTATTTATCACTCAACATACACAACAAATCATGACAGACACTAGGTTTGGACTTAGGTTTCTCTTCTATGGCTAAGAAATTCTGTGTTCCAAGGGATGATGCTAACGAGCAGACTAGGGGAGCCAAATGCATACACATGGCCAAGCTGTTCATGCAAGAACAGATTATGGCAACTTTTTCTATAAATAAAGAAGGCAAATCAGTCACCAGAAGGGAGGCTTCTACCCTGCAAGTATCCTTTATCAACAACAAACAAGTATTGACATAGTTTCAATTCACACTATTATCACTTTCTGATGACCATACCTCTTACCCCAGAATCCTCCTTTATAAAATATCTGCCACTACTCTACTGAGGGGAGGAAACTTACCAATATTCTTTGGAAGACAAGAAAACATAGGAATATTGGAAGTTTTGCCCTTTTCAGTTTCATAGTCAAAAATATTCTGCAAATCAGTTAAGGGTTTTGGGCAGAAGACTGATGTTGTTTTTTCATGGTACTGCAAAGGAGTTGTGGGTGATGTCTTACACAGGTGGCAGAGTTCAGGTTTTTTTTTCCCCAATCACCAGATTGCTTTCCTTACAATTTCTTTGGTATTTTGCCACACTCTACAATTACATGTTCCCCAAAATGATTAATGAATCTAGATAACAAGTGTTGACCTTCTTAATGATCATGACGCCCACATCCTCAGTTGGAGGCCTCTCTTAATTAGTAATAATAGTTATTATTATAATAAAGTAATAAAATTTTATTTTGTTTTTAAAAAATAAAAGTAATAAAAATTAATAAACTTTTTATACTAAATTCAACTGGTGACTTGAAGAACAAGCTTGCTGCTAATCTTTCTCTGAAAACACAGCAAAACTGGAAGCAGCTTTTCTGAAACCTCAGCCAAAGTAACCTGAGGACAGACTGGATCAAATGGAACACCTCAAAGGCCAGAGCTGACATCATCTGTGAAAAGAAAACTCTGATTACCTTACCTAATAAAATAGCTATTTCAAAAATGGATAAAGCAACTCTTTCTTTTCTTTCCACCATGACAATCTACTCCCTATCCTCCACTCCTCTTCAGCCCCACCCCATCCTATTATTTATTTTTAAATATGCTGGGCTCAGTGTAATCTTCTACTTTTAAATTATATCCACCACCTCAACTATCTAATCAGTTGTCAAATCTTGTCATTTTAACTTCCATAATACATCTCCTATTCTTCCCCTTCTCTCAACTCACTCCACCATCACCCTAGTTCAGGTCCTTAAGACCTCTCAGACTTGTGCATCAGCCTTCTCAGTGTTGCTAATTCACATCTTTCTCTACTCCAATCCATCCTTTACTCAGCTGCAGAGATTTTCCTAAATGTAGACATGATCATATCATTCCTCCATGATCAATAATTTCCAGTGGTTTCATATGACCTCCAAGATCAAATATAAAGTCCTTCATTTGGTATTTGAAAGTCTTCACAATCTGGTCCCTTCTAATCTTTCCAGTCTTCTTATACATCCTTCCATACCCTCTATAACCATGCCATTCCAGCTTCCTTTTGTTGTTCCTTATGTACTACACTCCATCTTGCATCTCCATACCTTTACAATGGCTATCCCCAAGGCCTGGAATACTCTCCCTCCTCATCTCTGCCTCTCAGGATTCTTGCATTCCTTCAAGACTCAGCTCAAATCTTCTTCAGGAGGCCTTTCCCATTTTCCAAGGCTGCCAGAGCCTTCACCTCTAAGATTACCTTCCATATATCCTGTATGTATTTTTGTTTTCTCTCCCATGAAAATGGGGCAGCTAGGTGGTGCCATGGATACAGCACCAGCCCTGGAGTGCTCAGGTCCTAGGAGGACCTGAGTTCATGTGGCCTCAGACACTAGTAGTGTGACCCTGGACAAGTTACTTAAACTTAATTGCCTCCCAACCCCTCCTCTGTAATGTAACCTCCTTGAGGCAAGGAATTTTTTTACCTTTCTTTGTATCCCCTGCACTCAACACAGTACCTGACTTTACACAGTAAGCAATATGCTAGGTTTGGGGGCTCATAATATACACTCTATATTACATGTTCTGATGGTTACTTATTTATGTGGAGAAAAAGAAAAGCTCCCCTCCTCTTTACCAGTTCAAGAACTCATCACCTCTCGTAGACTATTGTAATAGCCCCCCAACTTTTCTCCCTAATTCAGGTCTTCCTATTCCTAATCCATCCTCTCCACAGCTTCCAAAGGAATCTCCACAAGATACAGGTCTGTCTGTGTCAGTCCCTTGCTCAAAAACCTTCTGTTGCTCCCTACTGACTTTGTGGCCAACTACAAACTTCTCTGACTGGCTTTTCAAATCTTGCACAATCTGGCTGCAGCCCAGCTTTCTAGTCTTATTTCATATTACTCTCCTTCGTGTATTCTACATTTCATTTTAAGTGGTCCATCAGTTCTCCAAAAATCAACCTTCACACATCCCGCATCAGTACATTTGCCAAGGTCATCTTACATATCTGCAGTGAAGTTCTTCCTCACCTCCACCTACCATCAGTCATTACTTAGCTCAGTGCCACCTCCTCTTTGAAGCCTATGTAGATAAACTCTGTTATTACTTGTATTTGCTGAACTGTATGCTAGTGGAAATATGGTGACTGGAGACAAATTGGTAAATGGAAAAAAACTCTGGTTTTTTAATAAGAGCACCTAGGTTTAAATTCTACCTCTAACACTTACTGCCTGTGTGACCTAGTATAAGGGTGAGAGCTGATTTAATAAATCACTCAACCTAACTATGTTTATCAGGTGAGAATACCTCTACTGAATCAACCAATCAAAGGCATGAAAATAGGTAACAAAAGGTCTTGGTCAATTTGGAAGGAATGAAAGTCATTAGATCAGATGAA